AGCTGATTGTAAAACGCGAAATCGGTTTAAACACATTTGTAGAATGCAACTCCAACTGAATAACATAACACATCATAAATGTTCTAATGAATTAAATTAAAATCACAAAACGGGTAAAGATCAACTGCTTCTACCCTGATGTTCGATCAAAATTTATTCAAAACTACCTTCTTCCTCAACTGCGTTTTGCTCATATTTTTATGACGCAACTTCTTGCCAAGGAACTTTGGCATTACTTTCATTCCCGAAGCATGGACTTCTCCAATTGATTGTTTCACCTACAACCATCGTTCACATAAAGGATTTGGTAGGCCGTAGCACTAGTAAGAAAAGGAAACACTCACCTGTTGCCTAATCTTTTCACTCAGCTCCCGTCCCGTCAATTTCTCTCCTTTGCTGCTAGCGACCCTTTTTGCCTAGAAAAGAATAATTACTTAGCGAAATTTAGTTATTAAGAAATTGAGTAAACCCAAAAACTCACTTTTGCCCGAATGGCCATCAGATTCTCTATCGAAAACTCCACTATAGGCCGTCGTTCGTTTGTGAACGTCGTAGGATTATTGTTGAGTTTCTGCAGACATGTTAGAGCATCCTTGTGCTCAGCAAAATTCACAAAGGCAAAACCTTTCGAACGTGGATTCCCCTAAAACCAAGATAAATGAAAACTTATTTACAACACAATCTTCAGCCCACCTTTGCATCAACTTTTTCTGTATCCTTCCATATCCGGCATTCTGTGATGATACCGGCTGTTCCGGTTGCGTTACGGCAGATCTGCTTTAATTTCTCGTCAGTCATGGACATAGGCAAATTATGAATCATCAGCCGGGTGGGAGATATGAACCTTGAGAGAATTATTTGAGAAAAGATATATAGAGGACTAGTCGCACTGCGAACATCTTACATGTGCAGATTCTCTAGCTTCTTTCTAGAAACTTCTGCTAATCGCTGTCTCTTAGCCGCATCTTCGGCACTCATCCCTTTAGCAGCAGATGTTCCTTCTCGAATCAATCCGAAACGAATTAACCGAAGATTTCTTTTGTCTTCTGG